AACCAAGTTGTATTATTAAAAGACATAACCAAGTTGTATTAATAAAAGACATAACCAAGTTGTATTAATAAAAGACATAACCAAGTTGTATTAATAAAAGACATAACCAAGTTGTATTATAAAAGACATAACCAAGTTGTATTAATAAAAGACATAACCCAGTTGTATTATTAAAAGACATAACCAAGTTGTATTATTAAAAGACATAACCAAGTTGTATTATTAAAAGACACAACAGACTTGGTTGTGAAAATAGCCATCTAAAGTGTGATACTTTCAACAAAGAAGTCTAGTTTCTAAATAATTGCTTGTAACATTAGGCTTTATTAGTATAGAAAAGACAGTAGCCTGTTTTGATACAGACAACATTTAGTTTTTTTGAACTTTTATTGCATGTGTGATCTTACATCAGAAAAAAAGACTGGTTATGATTTTAATTATGTCATTTTGTGGCCCAATATGTGTTTCCAGTAATAAGAATGTATGTACTAGAGCTAAAATTTTTTTTTTAAATAAAAAAATACAACATTCTTCAGAAGAATCCTTTTAGTGGGAACTTAGATTAGTTTATTTTGATGAAATACACTATTTTACATTGAGAAATTAATTTTACCTCCTACATATCACTTGAAAATATGCCACTGTACTTAAATTAGAATTATTGTGCAACATTACTCCAAAGCCTAAACCGATAAATGTTTTAGTGTTAAAATTTGTAGATCTAAGTATATATGTATATAGAAAAGAATTATAATAGTGTATGGGAAACAGTACCTTTCCAACACCTCTAAAATCAAAGCACTGCACGAGTGCAGTAGCTTTAACACACTAGACTGGCAGTTTATTTTATAGGCTTCTTATAAACATAAAAAAAGATCCAATGCAATGAGACATTAGGATTAAAAAATAATAATTATCCATTAGCAGAATGGTGCTTTTTGTAAAAACTTTGTTCTGTCATCATTTTATTGATGTTACATATCTCAAACCCGGTAAATCATATCCTTATCACAGCTTAATGTGTGTGTATACACCTCTGGAGTCCTAAGCTCTTATATTATGGTTTTTTTATTCTCCTTAACCATTACAAATGTCAATAGAGAAATCTTGTAACAATCAAAAGTCTGACACTCAGTTACAAAAAAAAATTAAATTATTCCAAATAAACATGTAATTAATCTTCTGGAATTGTATTACACTGTAATAATTTATGTGCCAAAATACGTTTCAATATTAGGGAGTAATTAAACTTTGTTAACACTCGGGTTTTTACATAAAACTTGTAATCAAAATTTCCCATGAAAATATTTATTTTTTACTGAAACATGGTGCTGGGAAAACCAGCCACTGCATTTATTTGTTTCATACACTTATGCAAAGCTATATAAGGGCTATCTGCACATGCTGCCTGTAGTTTTGTATTTGTATAACTACAGATAAGACAACTGTTCAATAGTACCTACTGCCAACTCTTGATCTTCTCTATTCAAATAATGGGATTTGACCATCACTTATATAATGTATCCATAGTGCCAAAGTGCAGAGCACAATTGAGCAACTATGGGATGAAAACCACGGACCTTCAATTTACAGTCTGGCATGCTAACCTATGCCTGACCAAAATTTAACCTGAGATTTAAGTTTAAAGATGAAAAATTTACTTTTTGTCTTCCCTATTTTGGAAATTAATTGCAATTAATGTTTTAACCATGATACTATAATTATTTTTTTACCATACAAATAAAGAAAAGTAGGAAAAAATAATAAATTTTTATAAGAATATATTCCATGGTTTGGGAGGAAAAAAGAAAAAGAAAATCAGGTTATAATAAAATAAACACATCAAGTACACTTTGATAAAACAAAATATGTACAAGCAAAAGAACTTGGTTTATTACCCACTATTATTTGGGTGATTTGAAAATAAACAATGGTTTAATTAAATTAAATGGATTCATTATTTATACAAAACCCTTTTGCATTTCATAAAAATGTTTCTAACACAGTAAAAAATAAGAATGAACTTATAGTAATACAACTGTAATGTAGCCATATATTAACCAACATAGACTAAGACTGTATTATTGGAAAGAGCTATTAAACCCAGAAAAAAATTAAATCTGAACCCTGAATACTAATTAAGGCAATGTAATTGGTGTTTACCTCAAATGATAATAAAAAAAAGAATTATTATGATAATCAAGGTTAAAAACATAAGATGTTCCAAACTGATATTATAAAATCAATATTCATGTAACATTTCTTTGATCTTCCCTACTAATGAAAGTTAATGATGTAAGAAGATAATAATTTTTCAATCTTTCTTAAACAAGTACATCTTTTACACACTTTATTTCAGAGAATATAACTTGTATATAGGTATTGTATTATAGCTTTACATAAAACCTGAAGAAAAATTAGATCAGGTGAAGGTTTCATTTCAAGCCAAAGTGATACAAATCTTAAAAATGGAACATGAAACATAAACTAATTATTACAGCTGCAGTGATAAAATGGTTAAAATCTGAATGATGTGGTTAATATTTCATCCAAGCAACATTTGTAGGGATCAATGAATGTTGTTTTAACAAAATGTGGACAATATTTTTTTCTTTCCATTCTTATGGATTTAAAAATTTAAACAATATGCTAAAATACGTGCAGAATTTTGGTTCATAAAAATTCCTTTACTTGTGGGAAGAGAGAAATTATAATTTGGGAAAGAACGTTATTGATACACACAGAATGTTGCTAAAATACACAATTGATTTAGCAGAAGAATTGTAAATATTTATCTATAAAACTTAATTAAATATTTGTGATCCTTTCGACAACACACATATCACGTTAAATGTATCTTACCAACACATACTTTACAAAGCTTTTCAAAAGATCAGCAAAATGTTAATGAATAAATAGTTGAACTGTGTTAAACTTGACACAGATGATATGCACAATCTTCTATTAGACATGCCCAAATAGCTTTTGTATATAATAGTTCTAAAGCATACATTTTATTCTTTGTATACTTTTCCACTAAAATTAGCACCATACATTAGATAGCACAAGACATGCTCCAAGGAGTTCGCAAGGTATAAACCCCTCGGGGGGATGGCCAAGTGTGGGGGTGACCAACGAGCTTGAAATTCCTTGGAAGAACTGGCTGTTGAGAACCAACTATGGAGGTGAGGTAAACTAGCAGAAGCATGTATTTAAATTTTTAACTCTTAAAATTCTCAAACAAATGGTGTAACAATGATGACAGATAAAACTGTACAACACAGCTACAAGATGGACCCAAAACTTTATTCTGGTCTCTTGGTTGAATCATTTCTGCAAAGAAAAAATTTATTAATTGGATTTTAAGGATTTCAATTTTGTCTAATACCGAACTCAAATGTTACTACTATTTAAAATGGCGAGCTACTTTTTTCATGCCTTGTAATAAAATCCTTGTGTTTAGAGCAGAAATTACGATAATTTCACCTTATGATTTTGAGATGTTCTATAAATATATATATTTTGATTTTGTTAGAAAAAAAAACATTTATAGTAAAAACTATAAATCCTTTCTTATTTTCAAAACTTTAATATGAGAGATTGATACTTCATGTAGTACTTAACTGCTTTATACAAAAGTGTATGTATTATATAGTCCCACAGTGTTTGTCCATGGTTACGCACCCAATGGATATGATTCTAGTACAACAAAAGTTCATCCTTTCTTTGTTCACAGATGTAAAATGAAGCAACATCTCTGATCCATTTAGTCTAGCTTATTAAAAATAAAAGAATATCACATTAACAACACAACTACAGGCTCAGAAATTATCCCATTTGTATTTGTTACAAGCATTAGATTTATGGGCAGAACCCCACTAGCTATATAAAAGCAGAGAAGCATGCCAAATCAATCATGAACTGTTATAAAAGTAAACTTCATACATCAAATACTGAACGATGAAGCTGCTGAGAACCAAGTCACATTTTTTGTGACTGTAATCCAATATGAAGATGCTGAGAAACAAGTCACATGGTTTGTGACAGTAAACCAGTATGAAGATGCTGAGAAACAAGTCACATGGTTTGTGACAGTAAACCAATATGAAGATGCTGAGAACCAAGTCACATGGTTTGTGACAGTAAACCAGTTGACACCCATAGTGGCTCAACAGATTTCATTGAATCTTTTCTGCCCAATAACTGTGAATTGTTGGAATTTGGATTGAAGTACTTGGCACTCCTTTGCAGGAGAAGAATGAATTGAATAGCTCCTACTTTCTGAAGCTCTTCACAAATTTCAAAACATACAGTACACACATAAGATGCCAATGTACATAAATATCTAATGTATCTTAACACAGTCATTGCTGCCTCAGAGATTGATACCCGTGCGGGTGCTGTTTTTTTATTTTATTAGGGGTATTTTAATAATGCTAAATAATATCAGATTGATTATTTATGAATATACAAGTTTATTCAACTAAACTCTTTACCAAGACACATGAGCATCATTCACACTGCAGCTAAACATGATGAACATTTGCATCATCTATTTTGTGTATCTTGTCACGGTTTTGGGGTATTTTTTGAATGTACAAGAAGAGTAAATTATAGTCGTGAGAATATCACATCTGTACATCATGTAAAATAGCAAATAAAACAACAAAAATTATCTTAGCCTACTGTTTTAGTCATTATATACTGATGAGCTTTTGTAAAACATGACTCTATACAAAGGGCTGATTTTTTAGGACACTTTATGCTTTCCCTCTTCGAAACATACTCAACAATGCTTTGAATTCTTTCATAGTGTAAACTTTGAAGGAGCACTATATTTAATCATTTTATAACCAAGCACAATTTATACAATAGCAGACCCTCACACAAGTGTCATCACAGTAGAACTGACTTTCTAACACATGCTGACTCCGATAAAATGCATTTGTCTCAGTGTTTTAGTTGACACATGTATGCATCAGCGGCAGTGAATGTGTTAATTAACCACAAATTTATGTTGCAAAAAAGTCAGTGAAATAAAAAGGAATACATGACATTAGATAACAGAATAAAGTTTTAGATGTGAGTGGCAACATTATAATATATTATTATGATAAACATTTGTCAGAAAAACATGTTTTACCCTATCGACTCTCGAATGGTACTACAGCAAGCCTGAGAGTTTTTTTTGAGGGATTGCCTCTCCCTGATTACCCCCACATTGGCACATTTGTCTTCTTTGGCTCTAGTCTTACACACGTGGTTTCTCTGTTGTCAGGATCTCCTGTGCAGGGATGCAGCCTTTTCTCCGGTTATTTTACTGCTTCCATATCTCCAGGACTTATGTATGGCCCATTTTCTTCAGCAGTATGTTTTTAGTAACATTCCTGAGACTTTGGAATCCCGTGTGGAGTCGGTGCAACAGCATAGTACCCTTTCTTCTTTGATGAATCGTTTGTCACATTCTGAGCCTAGACATGTCACTATTTCTGTTTCCCCTTCAGCTCCTTCTCAGCCTTTACTTGTTCCTCATCTTGTTGTTTCATTCTATACATATGGACACGTTGCCAACAGTACTGGTGGGTTCCTGTCCAGTGGGGGCTCGTTTGTCAGATTTTGTTCCTCTCTGGCAACTTTCTGCCATTAAGTTAAATAGTCTCTCTTAAGGACAATGACAAAAATTTCATGAAGTGATTTTAATCATGATATTCTGACCATAATGTTGTAAACTTTCAGCTTGATACTGATGTGAATATTGTAGCATTAAGTAGTTTAATTCAGAAAATATGATGACAAATTTCAAGACATAGAAATCCATTCAGTGAAAGCCTGAAGTTGCAAGTTAATAATTACAAGTTCCGCGAAGTTTCGTTAGTAGTTGATCTTAAAAATCAAATTATTATTTACTCTATACAGTTCTATTCACAATAAAATTACAACTTTATAAGAATTATTTTTCTATTTTTATAAGTTTTTCTAAATGGTAAGTTGCTTTTAAACAGATAGTCTTAAAATTCAGTAACAACTAAAAAATATCAAATTGCATTTTGACGCATTTAGTTGTTTAAAAAAATATAATAGTGACTGTGATGAAGCATCTGTATCTAAGGAAGCTGAAGATGATCATCTTGCTCAAGCTCTCTGGAAAATGAGTGTGGAAATGACAGGATTATAGTTCAAAACTTATGTTAAGTCTTTGGGTGTATGTGAATTTTATTGTATAATTAACATTAAAATATTCCATTTTGAATACAGAAGAAAAAAAATAAAATGTATATACAAATCTTCAAAAGCCATATATATATATATGTTCATGTAAACACTTTCAAGTACCATAATGAAAAAACAAAATGTTACTTAAATATTATAGTAGTTTTGGATAAGCTTCATAGCAATATTGAACATGTGTGTACATGTACCATTTTAAAATTAAACAAGCATCATTTAGCATTAATTATGGTAAATCTATGGAATGAGTGCAAGGATTGAAAAGAAAGTTTCAAAATCAATTTCATAAAAATATCTTTTACAGGATTAGTAACTGTTATGTGCTCAATATTATTAACATATTTCCTGAAAATTAAAACCCATGCAAAAAATGAATCAATTTTTACCAGCTATGCCATTGTCCATAAAGGTTTAACTTTCATGAAGATAAGGGATTTCTGCTTGTCAGATGAAAAGTAATAATACTATTATTTCAAAGTAGGTTTAGGCAATATCTTTACCATATAAGCAGCATTTTTGTTATAGTTTGTTTGAAGTTAAGCACAAAGCTAAACAATGGGCTATCTATGCTCTGCCCACCATGGGTATCGAAACCTGGATTCTAGCGTTGTAAGTCCTCAGACATACCACTGTGCCACTGGGGGCTTTTGTTACAGACTTCTGTTGTTTTTTTTGGTTTGGTATTGAGACATTTTGGGCTCCATGCAGAATCCATAGAAGTATTTACTATCTATTGAACTAAATCAGACCTAATACTAAAGAAAAAGAAGTTTCATGTAAGTCACTCTGTAAAGAAAGATATTTTGACAACAACACATTCTAAATTCCCCTCTCCACATTATGAATTTCAGATTTTGCTGTCATTATCTGAAATTCACATGCCTGACAATTGAAAAATACAAAGCTAGCCAACTTAAGGTTATCAAATGAAATTAATTTACAGAAATAAGTTTCAAACAAATGTAAAAATAAGAATTTCTTTTCAGATACAGATTGTAAGTTTTATCCCATCCAAAAAGCTTGAGTGATAAACCTACACTATATCTGCTGCCATACAGCAGTAGATATTTCTGTGCATTTCTGCTTCATACTTTGATTCAAAACATAACTGTCACCATGTCAAAATATAATTTTTTTATATATCATAGTCACACGTGACATTTTTACCCCTTTACTTGACAATCCTGCCAAAAAAACCAGATTTAAAGATCAATATTTCAATAAATTTGTCATGAATGAACACCAAAAATGTCATGCATGACTAGTAGAATGATGCAAGAATGTTTGATAGACTTTATTTAGCATTCAATACAAATAGAGTCCATGCAAAAGATGGAAATACTGCACTTTTGAAAACTGTTACACTCACAGAGCAGATAAAGAATATGGGATGTTTTATTTTTAGTTTTGTTGCAGCCCCTAAAACAAAAGACCATCCTAATTATTTTGAGAAGCTTGTCTAAGGAAAATTTTGAGGTATGTGGGCAGTCTGGAGAGTGTGGCATATACTGAAAATATACTTCTAACAGATACTTACCTCCTCTTGCATAAACAGCTATTCTCATTCAGTGCTGCCCTCTATATTTAAAAAAATGTTTTGCATGCCACAAGCCTTGAGCTCCCATGTACCTTACAATGACCTGATTCAAATGTGTCTCGCATGTAAATCATCATGCGACAACCTTCCACCAACAAGAGTGTGACACACTCTTCTGACACACAAATAGCTAGAATCTCACACTGAATAGGTGGAGGGACCATTGTGAGGGAAAGAAAGAAGCATCTTTCAAAAGTGTCTGAAGGACACCTTAAAAAGAGATCCTCACTAGAGGATCATACGTGAGAGACTGCACCACTTCTGTACCAGGTATACTCTTTGCCCACTGTGGAAAGAAGTGTTGCAGACATGGGTAGAAAATGGGAGGAGTACATAGAAAAAGGAGAGAACAATGGTTGGATAGGGAGTTAAACGACATGATATCAGAATATCAATCCCTTAGAGTACATCAATGTGGGTGAGTGTAAAAAGATGTGCCTCGAGGTGTAGAGTGTATAGTTCACGACAGACCGTACACACAGCAAGTCAACTACATTCCAAAACCCGGCCACCTGGAACTGACATCCATGTGGGGGTAGGAAAGAGGATCATACTTTCTTCACCTCAGCTCAGCAGACTCGAAGAAATCTCGTAACCCTCAATATATGAATGGGACGCATGATAGCAACGTGAGAAATTGATCAATTTATCCAGAAACCCAACTTCCAGTATCGTAAAGATGTCTTTGTAAGGTAAATCATCTCACTCAAAACCAAACTGGCAGGAACTGCCCCTAGTGCAATAACATTCTCACTAATATAAAATCATCAAGGGATTGCATAAGAAGAAAAACCATATTAATCTGCAAGTACCTTAATAATCGTGATCACAACATGGAGGAACAAGAGTATAATTGAATGAGAAAATAGATACACCTGTAATACATGTGTGAGGACCTATGTTGATTGGTTCAGCTCTAAATCCAAAACCCAACCAGTGGGAACTGACATACATGTTGGGGTAGGATCCCAATTGAAGGGGTGAACTGCAATTTTGATGGCTCACTCCAATTATACATATTGTAGGACATCTTGTCATCTACACCAGCAGAACACCACCACCACCCTACTTTTAATTGAGTGATTTTATCATTATATATATATATTATCATTATCACATTCAGGAGGATGCCTCCATGGTCCACCATCACAGTAGCTTGGAACTGGAAAATGGTAAGGACTTCCATACTCTGGAAGAAAAAGAGGGGAGAAATTGCGGTGGAGAGTCTGGAGGAAAGACAACACAAACCCTATTTTGAAAAGCAGACTACACCTGATTTATTCAATTTCAGGCATGGTAGTGATGGGCAGCTAGCCCCTTCTGCTTTACCCATGAAGTTCATGGGTGAGTACGAGCATATTAGTGAAGCAAATATATCATGAGGACAAAACTACAAGCGATCTTGTGGAACACCCCATCTCAGCGGTGTGCATTTAGTAGCCATGGAAATTATAATTGTAAAGTCATCATGGCCTTACAGTGCAGATTTGACTATTTTTAAGTAGACCTGGTCAGGCACCAGTCATCACAGATCAGGATCCAGACAGTGTAAAAAGAAAAAGGGAAAAGCCCCTGAAATAAAAAAAGAGATATAGATATAAAATATAACTTACCCAGTCTCAGTATCACCAAAGTCTGAAGAATGGCTACAGGCAGAAGATGATAACCTGAAGATGAAGATATAGCAATCTGATGCAGACAGTGTGATATGAATGTATGTAGAGTAGTCTACATGCCTGAATGAAAATTTTCCTCCAAGGGATGATAGACGAGATATCAGGGAAAAAGTAAGGTGCCTGGTCTGATGACAAGAGAACTGGAACAGAGTATGGGAAAAAAACGATAAGTAAGAATAAGCCAATCACATTAAAAGCCGAACCCAACTGGTCAGGGTGGAAGGAGAAAGGTCATGACAGAGGATGTCTGCCAAGGAATGAATAGGTGGAAATGGGCACCACAGAAGGAAGCCATGCAGGCAACATAACAATGAAGAGCATGGACAGGACGTAGTAGCCTATCTGGATCTGACCAAGGATAAAGGTGGGAAATGGAAGGAAGGAAAACTGGCAAGAAGGAGAAATTACCTTCCTGAGCCGCTGAAGTTTTGGGGAGGAAAGATTGATCTGGATAAAGGAGAATATATGTGGAATGATATAGAAAGCATGAAACATCAATGGCAAATAAATCTGACCTGGAGGAGAAGAAAATATGTCTTAAGGGACAAGTAGAAAATTGAGCGTGAGGACAATGGTTCAAACAGAGGCAGTGAAGAACCACACAAACATTCCAATCAGGAAGGGCAGCATGCCAAGGTGGATGACCAATCCGAAAGGAATGCAACAAGATGGAAAGGGTAGGAGAGGTAAAAATTTTATGGTACCAGGAAAAAGTGTGGTATAAGGCAACTCAATAACCCACAATCGAGAAGACAGAAGACCCATAATCAAAGAGCCAAGTGATGAAATCCATAATATGAGGAAACGTGTGTCTAGTAGGTGAAAACCCCTGACCCAAAGATGTTCCACTTATATTGATAAACATCCCTAGAGGAAGGGTGAATGGAACAAGCTAAAAAGAAGCTACCCTTCCTGACAAACCAAATCTCCTTGCCAGGGACCAGATAAAAAAACAGGTATGAAGAAGAAGGATAGGAAGGGCTGGATGAAATGCCAGTGACTGAGGTTGACTAGAAGGGATGGAGGAAGAGGTACTGGAGGGGCAGATTGGAGCTGGAAAAGCTGTGGGAACCATGGTTGTGCTGGCTAGTAGGGAGCAATCTGAAGGACTTGACACAGAGTGCATGATCAAGATCATAAAGGGAAGAAGACAGATGGGATTTGTTGGTTCAATCTTGACTGAAAACATCGACAGCCAGAGCAAGAGGATGAGGAACTGTAGACCAAAACAGAGGTAATTTGGTATTGGGAGACGTGGCAAATGCATCCAGGTGAAGAGTACCCCACTGAAAGCATAGCCACTGGAAAGCAAGAGGCTGGAGAGACCACTCCATCAGATAAACTTTCTCTGGATGGGAAACCTGATCTGCAACAAGAGATTAAATGCACCTGGAACATGACACACAATGATATGAATATTGAGTTTGTGAGCCCAAAACAAATCCAAGGTCTCACCACAAAGAGAATGAGATGGTGATTGAGATAAGCCACCACTGTAGAATTGTCTGAAGGGATCGTGACCAGATGATTCCTGGCAAGATGAAGAAAATTATCTAAGGCACAACATACAGCCAGAAGTTCCAGGATGTTTATATGATAAAATCTTTTGGTTGGAAACCACCAACCTGAAGCTTCCTGCTGATCGACCCCTAGCCCTGAAGGGAAGCATATGTGAAGATATGTAGATCCAGATGAGAGGGAGAAAGCAGAACACCTGCCAACATGTGAGCCTTGTCCAACCAACAATGCAGATCATCTACAAGGGATGGAGGAAGGGAAATAAGAGCCTCCATTGGATCCTGTGCAAGATTCCACTGAAGAGACCACATATGTGCTCGACCCAAGGGGTAAGGACTACCATGTAAGACCACATTCCCAAAAGTGATAAAGCCTCACGAGCTGTAACAGAGGGGGCTGTAAGGGTGTGGAGAACTGAAAGCTTCATTGAACAAAGTCAAAGAGGAGAAGGTTGGGCTCAACTGAGATGAGTGTTGAAAAAAACACCCAAATGGACAAGATATTGGGTAGGTATAAGGAATGATTTCTTCAATTGATTAACCAGCCCACACAAGCTGCTTCCAGAAGCATCTAATATGTGTGATGGATGGGCTTCTCTTCATAACGAGCAAACAGAAGCCAGTCTTCCATGTAATGGTGGAAGTGCAACCCTGGAGCATGTAAATGTTGGGCAAATGCCTTGACCAACCGACAAAATACATATGGGGCCTAAGCAAGCCTGAAGGGCAGGGTGCAAAATTGATAAATTACCCCATGTTGAACAAACTGAAGATAGCATCTTGATGGAAGAGATGTCAGGATATGCAGGTAAGCATTCGCGATGTCTACCTTAGTCATTTACAAACCCGGAGAAAGAAACCCATCTGAGAATGAGAAAAGACTCCATGGTAAATTGGGGTAGTACCCAAAATTAATTGGGGTGGGACAAATCAATCACAGGCCGCCAGTCTCCAGTTTTATTGGGTACTACAAACAGCCTGGAATAAAACCTGGAGAATGATGATTGACAGGTTTGATGGCATGCTGGGAGAGAAGATCTTGTACTGCATCGGACAGATGCTGACTAGTGGTAGGATCCGGAGACAATGGAAAAGAAATGGGTATCTGAGATAATAGAGGATGGGGAAAAAATCGCATGACAAGTCCCTCGGATAAAACCCAAATAACCCACAGATCTGTTCATACGTAATCAATTATTTTATCCAGCTCTTTATTTTACATAGATATAATAGTACTGTGATACTTGAATATACAGGCTTTGCAGAAATATTAAGATTAGTAAACTAACTAATAACGTCTTCCTGCAGGAAGAGAGTATTTCCTCAAAAGCTAACATAGACATATCTGTCTGTGGCATTACATATAACCCACGAGTCAAAGAAACATTCTCTTTCAAAAGCTATTGGGCGTGATATATGATTGTTTTGACAGGACAAATAAATTATGACAACATTGTAGGAAATTTCGAATTTTGATGAGCATAGTCCAATTTTTCAAGAGCAAAATATGATGAATTTTGTACAATCTTGTTCTAATACTGACAGAGAATCTCCAAAACTCTACAGGTTTCAAGACACTTTGTAGCAATTAACATGTTAACTTACACCATTTCTTATTATGACTAATTAACTGAATACTATTAATAATGAATATAATGTTCGAAAAAATATGTTTAAGTTAAAAACATTTAACATTAACTCTCTTAACATGGGCTTGGTCAATTTGACCAACCACGTGACCTCTTTGTACTCGTTTAAAGTCTTTATAGATTTAATATTTCTAACTTTCAATATAGTGTGTATATCTTCACAAAATAAACCTAAATTACCCTTTTTTGTTCTTTCTAGAATGAATTCAAATTGTAACATTGAACTACATTCATTTATCCTAAGTAGCTCTAAGTTTGTAACAGTATACATCTATTTACAATTAACTTTTACAGTTTTATTGCACTTTGAACCATATCTAACAACAATCCATGCCATTATAAGTTGTAAATCACTCATGGAATGTGCAGCTCACATTATGCTAATGAATTACATTACCCATGAGCTGCTCGCATGTGCCTCATGAAATATTTTTATTATAATATTATTATTATTTATTTTACCTAATGTAATCTTAAATAACCTAAAATTATCCCTATTTTTT